CGTCACCAGGCTCTGAAGACCTCCTGGTGTTGTGTTAGATGTCGTCATCAGGCTCTGAAGACCTCCTGGTGTTGTTAGAAGTCGCCACTAGGGTCTGAAGACCTCCTGGTGTTGTTTTTAAAGTCGTCACCAGGGTCTGAAAACCTCCCGGTGTTGTGTTAGAAGTTTTCACCATGGTCTGAAGACCTCCTGGTGTTGTGTTAGATGTCGTCACCAGGCTCTGAAGACTTCCTGGTGTTGCGTTTACAGTCGTCACCAGGGTCTGAAGACCTCTTGGTGTTGTATTTAATGTTGTCACCAGGGTCTGAAGACCTCCTGTTGTTGTATTTAAAGTCGTCACCAGGCTCTGAAGACCTCCTGGTGTTGCGTTTACAGTCGTCACCAGGGTCTGAAGACCTCTTGGTGTTGTATTTAAAGTCGTCACCAGGCTCTGAAGACCTCCTGGTGTTGCGTTTACAGTCGTCACCAGGGTCTGAAGACCTCTTGGTGTTGTATTTAATGTTGTCACCAGGGTCTGAAGACCTCCTGTTGTTGTATTTAAAGTCGTCACCAGGGTCTGAAGACCTCCTGGTGTTGTATTTAAAGTCGTCACCAGGGTCTGAAGACCTCCTGTTGTTGTATTTAAAGTCGTCACCAGGGTCTGAAGACCTCTTGGTGTTGTATTTAATGTTGTCACCAGGGTCTGAAGACCTCCTGTTGTTGTATTTAAAGTCGTCACCAAGGTCTGAAGACCTCCTGGTGTTGTATTTAAAGTCGTCACCAGGGTCTGAAGACCTCCTGTTGTTGTATTTAAAGTCGTCACCAGGGTCTGAAGACCTCCTGGTGTTGTATTTAATGTTGTCACCAGGGTCTGAAGACCTCTTGGTGTTGTATTTAAAGTCGTCACCAGGGTCTGAAGACCTCCTGGTGTTGATGTGATTTTCAGGTCTCTCCTGTAAATGAGTCCCTGAGGCTCAATGGGACTAACTTGTTGAAATAAAGGTTGAATGAATGAAAACCTGCTTTTATTCTTTTCATGAAACATAAAATGAACTGTGTGCAGACTGGGGGAAGGACATCCCACCCCCCTCCCGGTCAAAACAGACCAGTGTCACATGATTTGTGTAGCAACAACGGAAGTTCACGAAGAGGTAAAAATATTCAACCAATGAAATCACGGGAACTTTGATTCCAGCCAATCAGCATCTTCTGGAGCTTCACCGCTGATGTGCAAAGAAGCTAAGTAGCTGCAAGTAACTGTGACTTCTGGCTCTTTTCCAAGCTCTATTCTACATATTTCATCACATATAAAGAAGGAACAATATTTGGAGTTGTGGATTCATCACAGAAGTTTACGCTCATACGACGTCAAACAAAGGTGGTAAGTTAATGCCACGACTTGTAGCGGTTTTTATCGTGCTAAGTGTTAGCAAACAGTAGAGCTGGGTGTGTGTCTGGATGGTTAAAGGAGAAGTTTACAAGACAGTGGTGAGACCACCTATGTTGTATGATCTGGAGACAGAGACATGGACAAAAAGACTGGAGACAGAGACATGGACAAAAAGGAGACAGAGACATGGACAAAAAGACTGGAGACAGAACTGGAAGTGGCAGAAATGAGATGATCAGAGGTACAGTTAGAGAGGACACACTGAGATGGTTTGGACATGTCCAGAGGAGGGACAGTGGTTTGGACATGTCCAGAGGAGGGACAGGGGTTTGGACATGTCCAGAGGAGGGACAGTGGGGATGTTATAAATGCAGCTGCCAGGACAAAGAGGAGACATATGGATGCAGTTAGAGAGGACATGGAGGTAGTTGGAGTGAGGACAGTGGACACAGAGGACAGAGATGGAGGAGGAGTCTCTGTGGAGACCCTGAAGAGAGGGAAGCTGAAAGAAGAAGAGGAAATGTGTCCCAACAGACTGAATGTCCGAGTTCTTGTCCTGTGCTGATGTGCAGCATGAAACGTCCAGGAACTAGTTGAAGTTATTAGCAGCTTAGATTTTTTTGTCTTCTTTGTCTTAATGTTGGTGGATAAGACAGAAATGTCTCGGGTGACACCGTGAGCTTAGGGGGAGTGGTGGCGCAGAGGTTACAAGATGGGCCTGTGATCGGAAAGTTGCAGGTTCAATTCCTGGTACCGTCAACATCAAAATGTGGGTGGAAAAGGTGGAACACCCACACCTGCCTCCACCCTCATTGGCCCCTCTCTGGGCCCATGAGCAAGGCCCTTAACCCCCACCGCCTGCTCCCTAACAGGTCTGTCTAGAAAATGAGTTCTCGTGGCTCAATGAGTCTACCTGGATGAATAAAGAGTAAATGAGCTTCACCACCTCCACCACTACAGCCAGTGTTTAATCTGAGCCGGATCCTGTCGGAACAAGATCTGGGAACGCTCTTATTTTGACAGGGTGCATTCCGGCAACTGTTTGCTTGGATTTGGCAACTCTCAAGCTGACTAATGATAACCAAAGTTCATGCTCAGTCATCCAGGTACCAAATCCAATAATTCCCAGTCAGCTCATCTGGATTGTTTCTTTTTTTTATAGAGACGAAGGGGAGGCGAAACGTCTCTATAAAACAGAAACCGTCCAGATGACCCGACTGAGAATTATTGGACTAATAATAAAGTTAAGCATTCCCCAGGACACCCCCACCCCCAGTCAGCCCGCCTGCTATTTGTGTTTCGGCATCAATCTGTTTACAAATTAAGATTACAGCCATGTTGTTAGTTTGTCGCTCAGCCCGAGTTACATTTCCTCGTGGGAGGAACGATCTCACCGTTCATGTCAAATATTCGATGATGTTCTTGTAGAAACAATTCCTGAAGTTGTTCATGCTGTGTTAGTGCTACTTGTCTGTCTCTGGACCCTACAACTGGGTAACGTTACAGTAGACCCAGACCACTACTAGAGTTTGAATTATGTATTTTAAGTTGCTAATAAACACGATGGATGATGACCATATTGCTTTACGCTAGGCCATTGGTAAGGACGAGTGATTATTATTATTGTTAGTGATTTTTTTTTCCTCTAAAACTCAATTTAGGCTTCACTGTGCTTTTTAGACTGACTAGGATGCGTGAGAAACGGAGCGTGCTTTAGTCACATAAGGCGAGCTGTTGGTCAGGCTACTTCTGCTTGTGCCATCAACTCTAAAATAGTTATTGAATCAAGTGTTACATACAAGTAACACTTGTAGCACTTGTAACTTGTACACTTGTTACTTACAAGTGTAACTAGATGTTAAAACAACTCGTTAAAATACACCAGAATGTAGGAAATTCTACTTAATTCAAAAGTTTCTGGGGGAGGACCCCCCAGACCCCACCCACCACCACCACCAGTGTGTCCCTCCCACATTACGAACATGCTTCTGACACTAATGACCACCGTGTTGCTAAACATTTTCCAGAGCAGGACCCTTGCATTTAGCATACACACGTCATGAACAACAAGATTGTCTTTTTCATGTGAAGTGGTTCAAATCACTTCTATTAAAAATAAACAAATGAAAATTGCTGCTGTAATTTGATTCTTTTAATAAACATGATGCAACTTGCTGTGACCCCAGGTTTTGAACAGGTGTGATGCTGGTGTGTGGCCACAGCGTGCACATCTCACGTTGCTCACGGTGGTCCAGTGTGTTTGTCCAGACACATGAGGGAACATTGGACCTGGGATCTTTCTGTGTGGCGTTTACATGTTCTTCTCATGTTTACGTGGGTTTTCTCCAGGTACTCCGGTTTCCTCCCACAGAACAAAAACATACATGTTGGTCTGCTTCAGGTCCAGGCCTCCCTTACAAAGGAGATCTGTGATCTCAGTGGGATTTGCCTGGTTAAATAAAGGTTAATAAACAAATAAAATAAAAACCTGCTTTTATTCTTTTGAACCAAACACTTGGTGTTAAACTTTATTCGGTCTCATGGTCCTGTTTGTAGAGTCCTGAATACAGACGGACTCCTGGTTCTGAGTTCTGCAGTGAGACAGGATGGACAATAACAAAAACTGAAGGAACTAAAGGACAAAGACCCAAAGACATGACCGAAAGGAAACATCGGAGGGAAAACTGAACTCAGCGCTGAGACAAAGACCCCCAGAGACCAGGAAAGGACAAGAAGACAAATCAGACTGAAGGCAGATACTGAGACAAAAGGTACACAACAAGACAGAAGAGACAATAAAAGACAAAGAGCAGAAAACAAGATGAGACAAACATTGAACACGAAGAAGACAAAGAAAGACACAGGCAGGAGGACAGAAATGAGACGATCTATAAAAGACAAAGGCAAAGACATAAATCCTATAAGTCCATGTGAATTACTCTGAGACCAAGAGTTCCATGTCGGGTCCTGAGCCACTCTGAGACTAAGCGGTCCTTGTCGGGTCCTGAGCCACTCTGAGACTAAGCGGTCCATGTCGGGTCC